CCAAACAGCACACTTGAACCCTCAAACTATTTTTCACTAGAAAAAGCCTTCAAGAGCTTTTCGGTCAGCATTTACAATAAAATGGGCCCCTTCTGGTTATCTGTGCTTACCAAATATCATTAACAACGTCTCAGGAAAGACTTACTTATTTTTAGCATGCCAAAAGCACACTACTTGCAGGTGGTGGATTTTTATTTTTTTAATGACAAGTTATAAAAAAAGGTCGTAAAAGAGGATTCCTTCTTCTTCTTTTTTTTTTTTTTAAGTAAAGCCATCAGGAAAAGTTGTCAGCTTGTGGACATTTTTATTGTTTTCCTCAAACTCTTCACCATTTTTCAGATTTCTTCTTGTAATTGAGTGTAGATCTCTTTTGAGAATTGACCAAGAGAAGAGGAAAATAGCAGAGTGAAGCCAAGTTGTTAGTACTGTTAATATTATTATAAACCAAGAAAAAATGTTTGGAGGAAATATTTGGGAAACAAAAAAACAAAAAGTCTTGTTTTGATTCCAGCACAATACCAACGGAACATACAGTATTTTTCCTCCCCATTTTTTCTACCAGCTCTGCTTTTAAATGGTCTCTAGAGTGAGTAAAACAGGAGAATGTCAGAGGCAGAAGATGCAGAATTTGGTCCCAAGCGTTACATCAGTGGTCTTAGTGTAATGAAAGCAATAGTAAAGGTCACACGTGGCTGTGCAGATCAGAAGGGACGGTGGGGTGAAGTGGGAAGGGAAGGATGTGGCTTGCAGGTCTGAAGGATGGGGGTACTAAAGGTAGGAGTGAGAGAAAGGCAGTGGGGCTCATGTCGGGGACAACATGTGGGATCCAGAGAAAGAAATAGCTTTTGGCTGCATGAAAAACGAGGAATGTGGCTCCAGCCGTCAGCAAGTGTGGCTGGTCCTGGCTTCAGTTAATATTTCCATTTGAAAAATGTTTTCCAAGTGTCTCAGTGCTCTAGCCAGTGCAAGAGCTCCGCGAGTCGCTCTGCCACCAGCAGGTCTGGGGGCACCTGGCTTGCTCCGTGCGTGTCTCTCCAGCTCCCTCCCTGCAACGTAAAAACTCTCCTCCTGGTGCATTTCCTCCCCCTACTCCTGGGCTGCCCTGGGTGGGCACAAAAATGCCACTCTGTGCCCAATTTTGTTCTCTGCATGTGCCAGCGCACTGGCCAGGCCGCGAATGCAGGTGACCAGGTGGAAGCTGCCAAATGCTCCCTGGCCCTTCGATGCCTCCTCTGCCACCAACCTCAATGAAATCTGCAGGAGGGAAACGGTGACTGAGATTTCCACCCTCCTTTTGGAATTGGCTGAAACGGGGCAATGGTTCTACCAAGCATGGAGCAAGGAGAGGAATGTAGGGGGTGAAGGACACGTGGAAAACAGATTTAAGATGGTTCGCTGTTTCATGACGGTTCATGGCAATGAACCTTTCTGCCTTCTCTGGGGAGACTCAGATGCCTTCTGAAGACTGAATCTCACCAAATCTTCATATGGCCTTACTGAGTCCGTGACACAGTTGAATAAACTGGAGCAGTGGAAGATTTCAGATGTAGCGAGAGGTGGCAAAGAGAATCTTTTTGCGGATTTTGGGGGCAGCTGACGTCTCCCCAGACTGCTCAGGGGAAAACGCAGCAGTTCTAGTTTTCAATGTGTTTCCTTCTCAGTGTCTTCAGCCCGCTAAGTTTTTCGTTTTGTTTTGCCTTGGGTTTTTTTTTTTCTTGGTTAAATTACCCGAAATGAAATAACTGCCTGCTCTGTTACCCAGTAAGCATCAGTTTCCTTTTGAATGGAGTACCTTGCAAATGTGGGGTGGGGGGGTGTACAGCGTGAGGAGGAAGAAACATGAGATATGTTTTGAAACAAATATTTTCCAGACAAAATTTACCCTATCATGTTGAATGAAACTGCTTAAAGATGAAGGCTGAGCTTTGCAAGTCATTCTGAAAATCTTAGAAAAGTGGAAGTTTTTTCTCTCAATGTTTTCAGAGCATGACCTTTTAATCAATTTTTTTTTCTCGATGTCGTTTCAAAGCAGCCTTCATTTTCTCCCTAAACTTGTTCATTTTTTAAAAGAAAGGATTGGTTTTATTTTAAGTAAGAGGGGGCTGAATTAAATCTTCATTGATTTTCCTATCTACAAAAGGGACTCAGAGGCAACAACATTTTTTGTACCAGTCCAAGTTTTGTGGGGCTTTTTTTCTTTCTCTTTTGATCTTTCCGTAGAACTGAAAAACACATAAATTGTTTTTCATGGTGTAAGTTATCCTGCAAGATAATGACCCAGAGGGAAGGAGTTACACAGTTTTCATGAATAACAAATTTACTATCATTCTTCCCCTAATGTGACTCAAAACGAAGAACATAAAATAAACTTCTTCCTCTTTTCTATCACACCACTGCCAGGGGTTTTTAGCCCCCCTGCTCCCACTCCTAGTTAATCCTTTAGAAGATATGCAGTGATTAGTTTGGTCCTTTTCATCAACACTAAATTAAAGATAAGAAATCAGCTGACAAATGATGGGCTTTTCTGTTTTTTTTTTTTTTTATGTCGTAAAATACCAGCAAACTGAATTGAGCACTGTCAGCCCCAAACCTTGAGGGCAACCACACTAGCTAAAGGTCTTTAAAGCAATCCTGGATTGTTATTTAGTCTTGTGAAAGCATACGCGTTATAAAGGATGAATTACAGTTCTCTTGAAAGATTGCTAAGGCACTAGCTTTGGTATTAATGAAACATCCTGAGATCTTGGCGGTATTCATCACTTCTTTAATAATGGAACTCTTTTGCAGGTAGGAGCAGGCTGTTCCATTTTATTTTGATTCCCACGCAATTTCTCTGCGTTAGACACTTTATACACTGCTGATAAACTCTCTGATGGGATGCCATTGGTACGGAGGGAAAAGATTGTCCTTAACGCAGAGCTAGGTAGATTCACCATTGTTTGCTTTTCATTCAAACTCGTTGCTGAAGCTGGATTTTTACCCAAGGGAGCAGTTAATGCAGCCCAGTCCAAAGGTGTATATAAGCACGTGGTTAAATTCAGGTGCGTGGTCCCCGTTGAACTCTTCAAGGGTGGGAAACCCAGCCCATGCTTGAACATACGTGTCTGAACATGAACATGCTCCCCGCATGCAACTGGGAATTTACAAATCAAAAGCTGCAGAAATTTCATCTATTGTCAAGGTGGGAGGATGTGCGAGGTAGGGGACTAGGGCTTGACTTCTCTCTTCCTAAAGTGGTGTTGAAAATGAGGTCAATTCCCACAGCTTTCGAGCAGCTCGGAGGATGTCTCAGCAGTTCTAAAGATGGACAACGGTTGACTTTGTCCCGTGCAGACTGAACAAACAGCTGATTAGGAGAGATGAGATTGTCGGGTGTGCCAGCAGCCCGTCTCCCATTGCAGTCTACTCTAAGGCTGGTGTCTCAACTGCTGGAGAGACAGGTGACAGAAACCCTGTGGGCACAGCTACCCAGAGGATGCTCCTTCCTGACCTCTATTAGCCCCTATGCTTGCGTAGGGCATGAGGCATGAGCCTTTCAACACACTTTTGCAAGAAAGAGGTGAAACTTCTCATTGTTAGGAGTTGATGGTAAGACCCGGTTAATTACTTTGCACGTTCTGAAAAACTGCAAACTGAAAATTAAAGAACCTTAAATATGTGCTTATATATTCATTAATTTTCCAAAGAAATCTTAGGAGAAAAAAAGGTAAAAGTAAAAGGAAAGAAAGGACTTTTTTCTTAGTTAGTTAGTTTCCCTGCTTTTCCTCCCGCAAGGCACATGCATCACAGATTTTTGCAAAACACAGGGGAAAGAGGGAGATGTATATGGGGGAGTGCAGGATTTCTCATGCAGGGGTATTTAAGTTTTAATCGATGAACAAAAAAGGAGATTAAGGATGATTTAAAGGAAATCCACCAAAAAAACCATCCCATCACTCCCTTCTTGAAAGATTAGGAAGTAGCAATTGGCTGGGAAAAGTGGTACAACAGACGGAGATAAACAATCCTCAGGGGATTTGTGTTCTTAAGGAAACAAAGCTCAGGTAGTCTCTCTACCTGCCCCTTCACTTTCTGCCTCCGTTGTGAAAATCAGTGACTGACTAAGGGGGCAGCGAGGGGACTGACTGAGATTAAAAGCAGTGAGGAAGCAGGGGAAAAGGCTGGGAATCTCAGCCACTGCACACTGCGTTTGACAGCGGATGGCTGGCCAACCAGCATTTGTGTGTAGCCAGCCAATTAGCATGTACACAGCTCCAAGGCAATCAACGCACAGCTCGCATCTCACACGGGATGACATCAGAGGGATGTGGTGGGAGAGGAAAGCTGAGACTATTGCAGCCATAGAAGAAAAGCATTAGAAAGGACGCAAAATTCTTCAGGATATATAGTTTGCCTCATTTTGCTGCTTAGAAAGTAAGGTCATGCAGCAGCACCTTTCTGAGAATCCTGAACTAGCAGCTCGGAGCCTCACAACAGTCTAGCCACAAGGCTGTATACCTTAGCTCCTTGGTATCCATGAGCCCAGGCTTAAACCCGTGCTGCAGTATCTAGGTCATACCAGCCAAGCTCCCTTGGGTATCTCCGGGTTGACCTGTGGACTACAGAGTACTGACGACCAAGTCTGGATGCTCATATCCTCCTGCTCTCCACTCTTCCCTCCTGCTCCATTCGCGTGTCTTCCAGCCCACAGTGGAAACTGCCTTCCTAGAAGCATTGGCCCCCGTCAGAAAGCGCTCAACTATTATCCTGTGTCGGACCACGAGCTTTTGCAATAAAACTTGGGAGAAGCTACACCCTCTCCACAAGTACCAGAGCTGTTCAGAGCTAAGCGCTAAAATGCAAGTTGCAATGATGCCCAAGAGCAGTTTTCTCAAACTAAGTCACGACATTGTTGTCTTTTTCATGGAGATCCCTCTCCTGATGCTGGGGCACAGGCGTTACTGTCAGGCCTTTACCTCTGCAGGTCAAGTGACTCCTTTTTGTGTTTGCATCTTCCGCAGATGGCTTTTGTCTTCCTGAGTGGGATGGTATTGTCTGCTGGCCTGAAGGTGTGCCGGGCAAAGTGGTGGCTATGCCATGTCCAGAGTACATCTATGACTTCAATCACAAAGGTAAGGCACTCTCCTGAATCTTGGCAAAGCCGTGTAAGCTGCACTAAGTAGGGACCTGAGAGTCTGAAGGATTAAAAACCCTCTTTAGCATCCTTTTCCTCACATGGTGATTCCCATCCAAGCTAGGAGTAAAGTTACGGAAGAGGAAGTAAAGAAACAGACACTATTTTTGTTTAATGACAACCGTATCACTCCTTCTCAGTCCCAAACAGGACTCTGCTCTGCTCATGACCTTCATGTTCCTTCCGCTGATCCCATGCTCGGCGTATCACGTGCTGAGAGAAAAGAAGAACTTTATTTTTACCCCAGCAGTCACAAATATTCCACCTACAGTACCCAGACCGTAACTAGGCATTATGGACACCAATTACAGGCTTACAACTGAGTGGACTTGCATGGTTACAAACCCAGATTCGTATGCCATAACAAACTTTGGGTAGCAATACAAAGCTGCAATGTACTCTTCCCATTTATATTCTTTACTCAGCTAGTTTGTTACTGGTATTGTCTTTCTAACCTCTGATCTCTGTCCAGCCCCCTATGGTGGGTATCTGAGAACAGCGCTGGTAAGCAGAACGTGTGCATTCCTCCATATCTCACTTTCCCTCAGGCCATGCATTTCTTGGCTTGCTTCTGGAGCCACAAAGTCTGTGCATATTTTTAAAAGTAATTGAAGTACATGCACTCCCTAGTGTGCTTTCAAAGCTAAAGCTTTATCTTTTCTCAGGCAAAGCTGTGCACCCAGAGACCGAAAAATCAGAGAATTAAGATTAAATGTTCCCAGTGGAGTACTGCCATCATTTTCAAAAAAAAAAAAAAAAAAAGATATTTCAATGTTTTCTGGTTGCATGCAGTCAGTCCTGCCTTTTCTGTGAAAGACTGTGAGCCAGACCAGCTGAGCTTCAAAGCAGGCAGAAGGCATCAGGGTTGTTGGTACAGAGATAAGTTCTACCCTTGGAAGAGATTTCTCCTTTTCCGCCCAGTATGGCCAAATGGCTCTTCCGTGTTCTTGTTTCTACTCTGTCTCTCTTTTCTTTCTTGCAGGCCATGCTTATCGCCGGTGTGACTTGAATGGGAGCTGGGAGCTGGTCCCAGGCAACAACCGCACCTGGGCAAACTACAGTGAATGTGCCAAGTTCCTCACCAACGAAACGAGGGAAAGGGTAGGCAATTCGTTTGTGTCTGCAGCATGAAGCATTGGTCTCATCTGGGGCTAGCCTAAGGAGCACCGTCTCATTTTAAACCCTTGATGAGCTCTAGCTCACTATCTCCTGTTGGAAACCATATCCAAGCTTGCCAAAGGTACACCTTCATTTTGATAGGAAAATCAATTCAATTATTTGAATGGGAAATTGTCCTCAAAACAGCGAGGCTTCTTCCGGCTCCCTTGATCCCATTTGCACAGAGAGCTGAGAGAAAGTTGGAAAGGGCTGGCTCAGGGGCACTTAGAAGTTGTTGGAAATTGTGCTTGAGACCGTAGAGACTCCCTCTTCCCGGTCAGTCAACAATTTTGCTACTAGGTTATTGTTAATTATCTCACTGCCTATGCACTTGTTTCTGCTAGGGGATGCACAAACACAGAGTAAACAAATCTATCAATCAAGCCAGTAGCAACTCTGCTTCTTTAGGTATTGAATGCAGAACATCCGGATTGAAAGGTATAAGCTACAGACTCAGAGATTTTTAGCAGTCTTTTCATCGGAGATGAGTGGAGACAAAGCCCTTTCTTAATATAAAGTAACACATAAGTACCGACCTTGAATTAATTCTGGTATACTTACAATCTTGAGGCAATGACACTAGTCCAGATTTAGAAAAGGAATTAACAAACCCTTGAAAATGGAAAGGGTTTGGTATGCTCCTGGGCAAAAACTGCATCTATCTATACGCCAGATCTGTAAGCCTTATTTTTACGCAAATTTAAGTGATGGAGTAGCTGGTGTCCAGTGAAACAGAAAGTTCTTACCTCTCAATCTGAGTTTAAGCCCTGCTGGGTGTCTGTAGCGCTTCTGAATGTCTCCCGAGTGCATCACTCCTTAATGCAGAAGCAATTCCTCTGCTGTCAACAGTCACCTGAGAGGATGTGATGTCCTTCTTTCACAGAGAAAGACATTTGCACCCACATGTGATTGCTGTTCTATTTCTACAGTTTGCATAGTATTTTGTAGAAATGTCTTGTTTCTCAGTGGTACTTGGAAGATGTCCTCCTTGGAGATGGTATATGATATCAGTGACCAATCATCTGCAGTAAGAGCTATTTTCGAATGGTTGGAGATAAAGATCTAACCACAAACTTCACAGTGGGAAGCAGGTTTGAAGATGACACACGCTCCCTTTGGGATTAATGTTCCTAATTTTAAATCCAGCCACAGCATAGTTTTTGTTGTTGAAGGTTCGTTGTTTTTTTTTTTTTTCCCTCAATGGTGAAGCAACGTTTGAATGAGGTGATTTAGTGAGGAAAGAGGTTATTTGGGCATCTGCATGTGTTATCTCCCAGTCAGGGAGCAGACAAGGTTACAGGGCTCAGGTACAGTTCCAACTACTTAAAAGTAAAGCGTGTTATCTCAGTGGTGGAAGATGTCTGCTTTTAGAACAAGTGTGGTGGGACACGTTTTTTCCCAGTCCACGTGGTAGAAAGCATCACTTTATTCCTAGAGGTTTCTGGAAGGTTTCTGGAACAGGTCATGGAGTCCTTCAGCATCTCACTCACACCAAGAGAGCTTTACTAAGTGGCATCAGTTTCTTGACCTCTTTGAAGTCTTCTGCCCTGTCCCACCTTTCTCAGTAATGCCCTGTGGTGGAATCAGTCTGCTGCAGACCCCTCCATCTGAGCAAGTCTCCAACATTTCCTAGGAAAGGAGGCTCTTTCTTTTAAATCTCCCATGCTTCTAGCCAGTACTTGGTCAAGGTGAATCATCAGGGGAAGGGTACAGAGAAGAGTCGGCCATTCATCATCAGCATGAGAAAGAAACAAAGATCTTCTGCCCCCTGGCTGCCAAGGAAGGCTGAAAGAGAAGTCCATTGTCCTGGCTTTTATGTGTGTCTGTGTATCTGTGTGTCTGTATGTGTCGTCTGAGCATAGAGGTGGTCAATTCCCAGAAGGGGAACTTGGGCGGTGCTCCCCTGTAATGAGGGGGGGCATTAGATGAGGTGTCATAGCATGGAAGACTGGATTTCTGTTCTCAGCTCTGCCTGAAGCTTGTCATCCCAATTATTCTGTAGACATGGTCGAGTCATTTTTTACCACTATTTTTTTTTTGTTCTAGCTATACAGAGGTGAATGTAATGACGCTTAGTTATAGGAAAAATAAATCCATCTTTGTTGCTTAGATTAAATGGACTACTTGGTATTGTTCAAGCAATAAATGCCCAGTGCAAAGAACACCAGAAAAAAAAACATAGCTTCTCCCAGGCTTGGAAGAGTATTTCGATGACCAAATGCCTTTCAACACCATCTATTATTAATTATTATTGTTATTATTAGCAACCTCGTATTTTCATGAGGTTGTTTTTCTCTAATCGGGCCTGCGCTTACCTCATAGGCTGATGTTGCAGGCCGTCACTTAAATTCCTTGTTTCGCAGTGCAGAGGTGGCTGTATTTTGGTGACAAGGGAACCAATGCATATACATCCACTGTGGGTCCCCGCGGACCTTCTAGTATGAAAAACAATGTGGATATAAAAGAGAAGAGGAATGACCTTATTTCTCTCAGTTGGGTGACAGCTTTCAGAGAATAAGACCTCTTGTCTTTCACACCCAAGACTGGCTCTGAAGCACTGGTGTTAATCAGCTTTCCTTTGATTTTTTTTTTCCTTTAAGTAAATAAGTCAAGAGATGTCAGAATCAGGGAATTTGGCAAGATAGACTAGTCATCTTTAGAAAGAGATTGTTTTCTATTATTATTCCCCCATCCCGGGAAACAGCGTCTTTGCATCACCAGTAACAGCTGCATTTAACCAACATTTTGAAAGGAGATCGTGGGCTGATTCTGAGTAAGACGGCGTCTTAAGAGAGGTAACCAAAGAAGCTATTAAGAAACCATGCACTAGGAAGCATTAGGGAAAAAAGTCTGTCTGTGGTTATATATATTCTGTATTGCTTCTGTATTGCTGTCTCTAGAAATAGGCATATATCTATAGATAGTTATATATATAATACAGATACACACACCTCAACAAACACCCACGTGCATGTGGGTGTACACACATATATATGTTTGTGTGTTTGTTTAGGTGTGCAGTTTTCTCCTTTTAGCCACTGTGGGATAATTATAAGATTAACTAAAGCAGCATGCAGAGGGCCCCAGAGAAAGTTTGTGTCTTTCGCTACCTTTTCCTGAAACATATAAATAGGATTATTTCACACAGAGAAGTAAGGAAACCACTTTCTGAAATTAGCAAAGTATGCTGAAGCCATCAGAGCCAGGAGAATTAACAGCTCGTAACTGCCCAGCGAGCAATTGCTTTTGGGTTGTTTTCTAAGGGAAAATTAGCACTGCTGAAGGATGCTGGATTGACAGCCCTGAAAACTGATGTCTGCTCTTTAGCCAGGGAAGCAGGTAGACTGTGGCTAGCTGTCAGAGCATGTTTCCCTAAATACCTTGCAGACATAGCATTAATGCTGCCATGAACAGCCGTCTCCTGGACATGGTAGGTCTCTAGAAGGCAACATAAAAGGGTGGAAGGAGTTCGTGGGAAGGTGTCCTAGCAGCACATCATGGGAAGATGCAGTGATTTTCTTCATGCCTTTGGGGCTATGCTGAAAAACACCACCACGCCATTGGCTGCTTCCCTGAATTCTCGTAATCTGCTTTTAAGAGACAAGGTAACCGCTCACAGGTGCAACAGAGACCACAGAAAATTTCTTTCTTGCACTCCTTCCGCAGGAGCCGTGCACGGGCAGCCCCTATCTCCTGTTGCACTCTGGCTGTCCCAAAAAGTCTCCCTACCTCCAAGCAGATAGGCTGAGAGACCCGCAGCTTCCCACCCCAGTGCCCTGACCAGGCAGCTCTATTTTGTTTATTTTCCATCCGGTGTTTAGCGAGACCGGAGGACAAGGGAAGGAAGGTGAATAGATCGGCCAGTGTTCATCCTCTGAGGAAGGCAGTGTGGTTAAACACCAGCTGTTTGTCTGTCTGCTCTGTGTTTTAAGTCACTGAGCCACAGGCTGCTCAATGTCAGGAGAGTGTATTCAGCACTGTCGCATATTTACTAGATGATGTGTGGATAGATATATACATATCTATATGTATCACTGTATATTTGTCCTACTCCTATGCTATTCCCTAGGCATCAGTTCCTGGGCATGTAAGAGACAGGGCAGAGGGCTGAAAGGACCTTGGGTCTGACAACATTGACTATTCTCCTTTTGACTTTCTTAAGATCCCTTAGGCAGAGGGGGCGGTGCGGCCTGTCTCGTTGGAGCTCCTCGGTCTTTGGATAAAACACGACACACGTGGGCAGTCTTGATTTGGCTCTAGCATTGGTAGGCAGCATTTTTGGCAATTTCTCTCCATCAAGTGTAGTAGCACTTTGACCACGGTCCCCTTCCCTTTCACACAGCCAACAGTAGCAGCACCTTCAGCGTTGCCATTTTTCTGTTCACCCTTTCAGACGTTGGCAAAGCTAACGGCATATTTTGTTCAGTACGCAGTAGTTTCCTTCATTCTCATCTCCCCCAAAGCAGCACCAATGCCAAGCACATCTTGCTTTAAAGTAGGACAAACACATCCTGTTTTCAAGGACGAGCTTAAGGGTAAATGCGACCTGCGTCTACTGAAATCATGGGGAAGGGGAATATGAGCCAGCAACTTGGGAGGTTAGCCCAGTTTGGAAACCACCAGTCTAGCAAGATGGACCATCCAAAGATCTAACCTCAGCCCACCAGTTCTGTCTTCATCTGCTACTGCTTGTTTATATCGTGGTGGTTTTACTGTTCCCAAAGAAATCAGAGAGGCCGTGGGAATCCATCGCATACTAAACACAATGGGAAAAGCGCAGCATGTTCCAGAGCTGCTTTATCTAAACTCCGTTCTTCACACCAAAGATCTTATATGCCTGGCCTTTGTTCTTGATACTCTCTGGGGTCTTTTTAAAAACCAATAACTTTTCATAGCCTCAAACTGATTGCATAGAACATGTTTACACAATGTATGCTGCGTGA